AGACAGCAGCTTTAAAATAAAGGCAAATCTGATTCTATGTACTTTCCATATAAATGAGGTATTTTTCTTTTTTCTTTTTTTTCTTTCTTTTTTTTTTTTTCCTTTTTGTCTTTTTTCGTGTCCGGCAACGGATCGCAACCCTCAGTGTCGCACCCGCACCTCGCTCAGCCAGTGAGCAGGAACCGGTCTGTATGTGGGATCCGAACCCTCGGCGGGAGCGCCGCCGCGCTCCCAAGCGGCGCACTGTAGCAGTGCGCCACCGGGCCAGCCCAAATGAAGTATTTTTCTTAAATGCTAAAAATATTACTCTAGTATTTCTTAGTGATGCCCTTCTAAATAGAATACTGATCTGAATACCAATCTAGGAAAATATCTAATCATTTCAGAGGGTTCAAGTAGGATATTCACTGAAGACAGGGCCACTAAATATTCTAAATTAAGTTTTAACTAACATAATCAAGGAAAAAACTTCCTTAAACACTTATTGGTATTGCTAGATGTTGTACAAAGAGAATATAAGAGGCAATGAATATTCTCTGAATCTATACTCAAATACAATAGGAAGAAAAAACAATTACATGAAATAATTACTGAATGAATAATTGTGAAATCATATGATACTGGTTATGTGCCAAGCATGTGTTTAAAAGAGAGATTTCTCTGAAATGGAATAGCATAGTAAAATTTCATACAGGAATTAGGCCGAAAAGTAAGAGATTTACTTGAGCAAGAGAGGAAAGAAGGCATTTCCAAACAGAAGGCAAAGCAGAGAGCCAAAAGTCAAGGGCAGTGAGAAAACTGCAGTGGAGGTACTATATAAAAAAGTAAAAAGCAGGATTTAATCTATAAGCATACATGCATTTTTTGCAATTGTTTTATTTTTCTGAGTCTTCCTCTTTGTTTTTTTACTTTTTTTTTTTTTTTTTTTTTACATTTTAAAGAAACATACAATTTCCACACACCATTACACCCATGACCCATTGGTAACTAATATTAATTGTTTATTATATATGATTCCAGAAATGTTATATACATCAAGGCATGTTTAGAATTGAATATGTAAAAGGGAACTCCAAAAAGTTCATGGAAAAAATGGGATTAAAAGATAAAAATAAAAAATATAAACTTTATTTCTCAATACAATTTTCATCAAGTTCAAGACATTTCTGTAAGGGATGACACCACCCATTTAGTCCATCCCTAAAGAACTGAGGGTCCTGGGAATTTAACCATGTCAATGAAGTCTTTTTACATTATTAACTGAAGAAAAATGAGTGCCCTTTAAGGATTT